GCCCCGGGGCCGCCAGCCGCCGCCGTCAGCGCTATGTGGAGAAGGACGGCAAGTGCAACGTGCAGCACGGCAACGTGCGCGAGACCTACCGCTACCTCACCGACATCTTCACCACCTTGGTGGACCTCAAGTGGCGCTTCAGCCTCCTCGTCTTCATCCTGGCCTACGCTGTCACCTGGCTCTTCTTCGGCCTCATCTGGTGGTTCATCGCCTACAGTCGCGGCGACCTGGACCACCTGGAGGACCACGCGTGGACGCCGTGCGTCAACAACCTCAATGGCTTCGTCTCGGCCTTCCTCTTCTCCATCGAGACGGAGACGACCATCGGCTACGGCCACCGCGTCATCACGGACCAGTGCCCCGAGGGCATCGTGCTGCTGCTGCTCCAGGCCATCCTGGGCTCCATGGTGAACGCCTTCATGGTGGGCTGCATGTTCGTGAAGATCTCGCAGCCCAACAAGCGGGCCGAGACGCTCGTCTTCTCCTCGCACGCCGTGGTGTCGCTGCGCGACGAGCGCCTCTGCCTCATGTTCCGCGTGGGCGACCTGCGCGACTCGCACATCGTCGAGGCCTCCATCCGCGCCAAGCTCATCCGCTCCAAGCAGACGCAGGAGGGCGAGTTCATCCCGCTCGACCAGACCGACCTGAGCGTGGGCTTCGAGACGGGCGACGACCGCCTCTTCCTCGTCTCGCCCCTCATCATCAGCCACGAGATCGACGAGCGCAGCCCCTTCTGGGACATGTCCCGGCAGCAGCTCGAGAAGGACGACTTCGAGATCGTCGTCATCCTCGAGGGCATGGTGGAGGCCACGGGTAAGCGGGGCCTTGGGGACACCCCTGCCCACCCTGGTGCCCCCTCCCCGGTGTCAGCCTATGGCCGCACCGGGTGGTCCCAGGCACCTCCTTCGCTCCCACCCCATGGGAGGCCTCCGCTTGTCCCTGCTGGCAGCCCAGTCTGATGACAGCGACGTCCCCTGCTCACCGGGGCTGGTGGCGTCGCAAGGACCTTGTGGGGAGCGGGGTGGGTTACGGSCTGGCTCAGCCCCGCAGGACACCTGGGCCGCTCTCGGGGGTGGCACTTGTGGGTGCTCGGATGGATGTGGGTGCTGCTCCCRTTCCCCAGTTTCCCCATTGATACCAGCAGGGCGGCACTGACTTGGAGTGGGGGGTGTGTGGAGGGTCATTATTGCAGATGTCCCCAGGTTGGGGTTGGGGTGACCTGGGTGCTGCAGGGACACCCAGCTGGCACCTGGATTCCTCCTGGGCCCTGGGTGCTGCACAGACCCCCCGTCCCCCAACTGGGATTGGGGTTCCCCCTGCTCCAACTGGGTTGGGGTCCCCATGCTCCAGGTACCCCCCAGGTAGGACCAGCATCCCCATCATTGGGTGCCACAGAGCCCCCTTTCCAGGTGGAATTGGGGTCCCCCCACCAGGCGCCCTGCACTTGCCGCCTCCAGCCTAGGGTGCTAATGGGGAACTGAGGCACAGGGCGGGAAACTGGGACACAGAGGYGACATGGAGGGACATGGGGCACAGGGGAAGGAAAACGAGGCCAGGAGGGGAAACTGAGGCACGGGGGCACATGGGATGACACGGAGTACGTGGGACACGGCGGGGACATGAGAGGTGGAAACTGAGGCCGGGGAGTGGAAACTGAGCCACGGGGTGACCTGGGGCATGGGGGGACATGGGACATGGGGGGACATGGGACATGGGGGGCCATGGAACACAGCAGATAGAACCTGAGGTGCGGGGGGACCCGGAGGCAGGGGGGCATTTGACACGGTGGGCCCCGCGGGGGCGCACGGCGGCCGCCGCGGCGCAGGGATGACGTGCCAGGCGCGGAGCTCCTACTTGGTGGACGAGGTGCTGTGGGGCCACC